AAAGGCTATTTAATGGGAAGGTGATTGTTATTCCTTTGATATGCCATATTTACAAAAAACCCCCCCCCCCCCCAAAAAAAAAAAAAAGTTGATTTGTGGCTTGGGGCTCACATTTAGAAGATTTCAATGTGAAAAAACACTTGCAGTCAAAGAAGCACTCCTCACATTTGGCTACATATTGTATATTTCTTCTTTTTCTTATATTTTTATTTTACTATTACTTATTTTGCTCCATTACATCAAATCAATTTCTTAGCCTGTGAACCTGCCAATTAAGTGAAACAAGCCATCCCAGTAAACATAAATGGTTGATCAGTGAATAAGAATAAGCAGGTTCAGGTATTTTCAATCTAATGAGGGGAAAAAAGTGCAACACCTCCTATTACCTGAATAAGAGGTGTCATTGTGGCTCCTGAACAGTATGATTCATCCTCATCCTCCTCTTTTTTTATTTCTACTGATGCAAGCATGGTGGAACTGCCCGGTGGGGTCGGGCTGATCTTTCTGCCCGTTTTACGGTCATCCTCTTTGGCAAGTAATACAGGACTTTTCTTAACCACTACAGGATATATTGTTGGCACCTGAAAGTCATCTATCAGATCCAGCTTCCTAACCCATTTCATCGACCAGGCCATGTGGTTTGTATAACAATCTGGCTGGAAATGCTCGTTACAGATCCTCGATGAAGGAGTGTTGCCATTCCAAGTCGGTCTGGTCCTCCTCACGAACTCATTCCAGGCTTTTATCGTCTCCAAGTTATTCGGGAATCCATGCAGGTTTCTCACGTACGGCTCAGGTCGTTTCCCGCAGCCCTGGACGACGCAGATGCACACCATTGAAGGAATAAATCACTTAAAAACACGCGAATTGAGAGAAAAACCAGGTGGGAAGAATCCCAGTAAACACTCCGATCAATGACACATGCGAGGTTTGTGTACTTTCTCTTCATTACCGCCACCAACTGGATTGGAGGATAAGTACAGCACTGCTGTCCCTCGTCGCTATGATGCGTTCACCCAGTTTGCATGTGCGATCCTCCAGGCAGGAGAAAAGGTAATATAATCATTGGGAAGATAAAAGGTGATTAGAAATACTTGAAATACATTTCTAACGACAAATGAAATCTGAAATAATTTAATAAGCCTAAATCTACACTGCATGAGAGCCACAATAGCAAAAACAAGCGTGTCACATTTATTATCAGAATGATCTCTTTAAACAATGAAGGAAAACCCAGCTAGTGTCATGAATTAGAAATCACGTTTTATGAAAGAAAAAAAAGCTGTATGTAAACTTTCAACTGTAAGGTTTCTACTTGCACAAAAATTGGAAATGGAGCCATTCATTGATATGGTATTTTATTGTTCTATTAAGCAGCAGTGGAGTTGCTCTCAACAAAAAGAGGGCTAATGATGTCGCTACAGATTGTTTCCAAACAATCTGGTATGAGAAGAAAATCCCAAAAAAGTGAGGTTCTAGCAGCTTTTGTCCTTTTCACATTGCCAGTTTCTACGAGATATTGAGATGGACCAGAGCTTTCCACCCCAGCAAGCATTGCACAGTTTTTAGTTGTGGCATAAAGCAAGTGCATCACATTTATTAACGTTATGACAAGGTGCTGGATAAACTTTTTCCTCGCACCGACGACGAAAGCTACATGGACGTGTGCTTTTATGCACCTCTGGTCCAAGAGGTATGACTGTTGCACCGAAACGGTCCACAGGTTCACGTTGAACTGGTTTTGACCTGAACTGCTGCAGATGCGATGCCTTCTGAGGGAGCCTCCTCCTCATATTCCAGGGCAAGTCGAAGTCTCTTGGATGGTCTTTTAACCAAGGTTGGTTGTAAGAGCAGCCGGGGAGTTTTTAAGGGAATTGTGCAGACACCATAATCTCGACCCATTTTCACCTGTGAACCTGTGAAATTTACATGGTCAGTTTTGCTTCTCATATTTATTATTTCACAGCATCAACAATCACATTCTGTGTAAAGTAACATACCTGTACTTCGGGATAACCTGGTCAGCTGTGTGCCGACTGATCGTGTGTTTGTGGAAATGGACGGAGGGTCGGTCTGGGTCGCCACATGTCTTACAAAGTACATCACCTGGTACTCTGTCTTTACATGACAGTCCTAAACAGCCACACAGATAGGGAGATTTTACAGCCCTCGTCCCAACCTGTCAACAATAAGCTTTGTAACCGTATCTGTCAAGACAAAGTGTAAAATTAGTATTTAAGTTCCCAAAAATCATGTTTTCATGACATGACGCATGTGTTGAGGTCATGGGGATTTGCTGGAAAGTATTTCTTAATCCATCCACTCTTCACACAATCATTTCTTCTTCTAATTAATGATTTGCTCTAATACTGACAAAAAGTATCTTAGGCTTTGTTTCACCGCAATCAGTTAATTCTTATGAGAATTCCCCCCAAACATTTCCTTAATTATTTATACCTGAATAAGAGGTGTGTCTGTCGTTCCAGAGCAGTGCGTTTCCTCCTCCTCCTGTTTTATTTCCGCCGATGCAAGCACGGTGGAACTACCTGGTGGGTTTTGGTGGGTCTGTATATGTATGCCTGCTTTGAGAACATCCTTGGTGAGCGATGAAGCTTTTTTCTCAGCCACAGCAGGATAAATCGTTGGCACCTGAAAGTCATCTATCAGATCCAGCGTCCTAACACATCCCATCGACCAGGCCATGTGGTTTTTGTAACATGTTGGCTGGAAATGCTCGCTACAGATCTTCGATGAAGGAGTGTTGCCATTCCAATACGGTTTGGTCCTCCTCACGAACTCATTCCAGGCTTTTATCGTCTCCAAGTTATTCGGGAATCCATGCAGGCTTCTCACGTACGGCTCAGGTCGTTTCCCGCAGCCATGAACGACGCAGGTAAACACCATTATAGGATGAATTCATTTAAAAACACTAAAAGGCGCAAAGAACAATGCTAATAAACACACTGTAGTCAATAACAACCGCCAAGACGCATGAGCGATTTGTCTTCTATTTTCTCTTCATTACCGCCACCTTGTGGATTGGAGGATCGGGCCTCTCTTTACCTGTGAATCCCAATCTAGTAGAATGTCATAGAAATCATTTAGTTTAAAAAGGAAAGCTTAAGTATACATTACAAACAGAACAACATACTTCCGTTAATTTTAAAAGATCATGTATTACAGCAAATGAAACGTCCAAATTATTCCCCCCACCCCCAAACATTTCAATATTAAGAAATATTGAATTTAACACAGAAATGTTGCAATTATGTCATCATGAGGGAAGTATGCTGACTTGACTCCACAAGTAAGTCAGTCTTGCAAAGGTCATTTCAAAAGAAAATTATGATTCACGGAGGGGCATACCCAAGAACGTCAATGGAAAGTTGACTGGAAGGAAATTTGTAGTGGGGAAAAACGTGCAACAGTAACAGGGATGCATGCATGCTGCCTTGTGGGGATTGTGAAACAAAGTTCATTCAAGAGTTGGAAAGAAGTTCCTAGGGTGTCTACTGCAGCTGGAGTTAATGCTTTGATAGTGACTAACTGCAAACTTATAGGTGCTTCCCTTGGAAGTTTTTTTTTTTTTTTTTCATTTTTACTGACACCGGATCTATCACTAGTTGTTTCCCTTCCCTTCCCTTGTTAGTGATTTTGATATACTAACGAATGAGTGATTTATTTTTTTGTGTGTGTTTAAGGTGTTTGACCATATACATGCAGAATTTACATCATACGTAACCTTTTCTTAGCTGTGTGTTAAGTGTCAGTGTAATGAGAAGTAAACCTCCATATCAATCTCAAATCTTTCATAGCCTCAACCAGATTTTCCTTCAGGATTTCCCTGCAGTTAGTTTCTTTCACTTTCCGATCATCTCTGAAACAGCTTTCCCATCCCTGCTAATGAAATGCATAATGCTGCCGTCATATTTTTTCCTTCTTTGTGACTCCATACAGTATTTGAAATGCAGTTTTAGAACCTAAATATGGCTTAATAAAAATGCCCACCACACTTTTCAGATTTTCAGTGGTTAAAAAAAATCATATATTGGTAGATAGCTTGGAGCTAAAATTTAAAAAAATAATACCTTTACACTATACTAAATATTTCCTTTTTCCTTATATTATGCAAAACTTTAAAATGAGCTAATTATAGAATTTGTGGTAAGAAGTGAAAGATTAGACATGACTACAAAGAAAATATAAGGAAGAAGAAAAAGGAATTGAGCCTTATGAAGATGAGAGTTTACTCAGAAGAGAGAAATGCAGGAGAGTTAGTCAGTTTAGAGGAAGTGTGACTCACGCACAGCATCACACTTAAAAAACAACTGAGACCTCTTACCTTATAAACTGATAAGTCAGCTGTCCTACTCGCTGATGTCAGGATAAGTCAGAGGTCTGCTGCGGATAAACCCATTGTCTTTGTGTCTGGTGAGACATGGGATACGTGCCTTTTCGTGAGTGTCCAGTTAGTGAAGAAACCCAATCTGTGAATACTTCAGTCAAACCTATGAGCTTTACGTGACTTACAAAAAATTTACAGGCAACTCTAAACATAAGAGATGTTCCCACATATTATTGCATTGCTGTTGGGTAAATTGTGGCTTTCCCACCTGTTCCCTCAGGTGGGGTTTTATTGAAGGATATTTAGGAATAAAAGGCATCATGAAGACGGAGGAACTCACCACACTTTGTGGAAGTCTCTTAAAGTAATTAAATATTTCCACAAGCCATGTGGAAAACTTTGAAGAAGAAAGTATGTGAAGAAAGCCAACAACTTCACATCACCCTGAACACATTGCATTTAGTTGTCTCTTTTAAAGTGTTCAGTTTCACTCTAAATATACATGAACTTTTTTTAAAAAAAAGATCTGTTCACATCCACAAACAAGATGCTAGTGTTGAAACTTTATTCTCTTCTGCTTTATTCCTAATTTTGTTTTTGTCCTGCACAGCTTTCTCGGCAAATTTAACCACTTTTCTTCATACAGAAATTCAAATCAGTTGTAAACAATTACGTGTAGATTTTATGTAACCAATTTAATATTAACATCCGTGTGGCCTTAGGTTACGTATAAAATTTTATCTAAACGACTTTAAATTTAACACTAAATTCATTGACGTGTCAGACAATGTCTTGATTTTTACAGAATCACATAGCACAAGTTATTTTGTCAAGGCTCCAATAACATTTAGTGTAATGTAAGATTAGGGGAAACACTTAGCATATCTTCATGTTAAAAGAACATGATATGAATTAATTCCTGTAACAGAAATGATACACATTTCTGTTACAGGAAATGTATATCATTTATATTAAAAGTACTAGGATACCAAATATCCTAGTACTTTTAATCGACTTGAGCACATTAGCAGCTGCACTTCAAACTGCGCAGCTGCTAATGTGCTGCACATTAGCAGCTGCACTTCAAACTGCGCAGCTGCTAATGTGCTGCACATTAGCAGCTTAAAGTGTTTCATAGAGGCTCAGCCCAAACTGGACCATTAAACAATTAAGAAAATGATTCCCAAATGCAGTGGAAAAAATTAAAAACAAAGACAAAATGATCTAATATGAAACTGCAATGGCCCAGTCAAAGTCCAGATCTAAACTCTTTTGAGGTGCTGCACATAAAACCACGCCCACCACCTTTAATTGCCTCTAGCTATGTTCTCACAAAAAGTTGGCAAGAAACCAAACACAGAACTGCAAAAAAGTCAAAATCAGTCTCTGAGGCAACACAATGATCTTTAACATGACAGGAATCAGTGCTGCATGTTTGTCACCATGTGGGGATTATTTTGATGTTGCACGCCATCTTGTGGAAAACCACCCTAACAACTCCTGCTCAGTTTGAAGTGCAGCTGCTAATGTGCTCAAGTCGAAAATCACAAAACATTACAAGATCCACTTATAAATCTTTATTACACATTTTTCACCTGTTGAACAGAAATGAGTCAAAACTGAGCGATCCAAACTGATTTAAAATCTGTACAAGTTCACTGCGGGATCACATTTTAGGTAAGTTGATTTCGTTGATATGAAATTGCAGAAATGTCCTGATTTAAATTGATTTCTTGTCTGCTTGGAGAGTTCATGTAGCCACAGGTCGTCTGGAGTTAAAGACTTTGACTCCGTTTTGCATTGATGATCGAGCGTATTTGGTCAGGAGCGCTCCGGTGGTCTGCTTCTCTCCACAAAGGTCTCTGGATGCAGAGAAAACAAAATTAATAAACCAAAAAAAAAAAAAAAAAGAAAAGTAACTGACCTTTTTTCACTATATTTGTTCAACTGAAGCCACTAACTGTATGTATGGAGTGATGTCATCCTCCGTCCACTTCTCCCTGAGTGAGAAGAGGTGATTGAAGCGCTCCACTGTGTCCTCTGGGAGATCTTCCACTCGCAACAGGCTGATGGTTTCTGGGCGGGACGTCCGATCCACCAGAGCGACGCCCTGGCAGAATTAGAAAGCAGCCAGCACTGAGGTCAGAAAATGTAAACAATTCCTCAAATACATGCAGATAATGCTAAGACATAAAACAAAGCCATTGTGCAACAGTTAAGGTCAGTACATGACCAGCCAATCCTAACTGGTTTATTATACATATATTTTTAATGAAAAGTAAATTATTTATAAGTTTATTTATAGATAAATATGAAGCCAGCAGAATACATTTTTTTTCCACAACTGTCTTTAAAGTAACTAAAAACTAGGCACACTGTTGATGTTTTCATAAAAAAAGACTTTAGGGTAAGTTTCAACAGAATGCCAAGATAGAAAGACATCAGCAATGAGCTTAAAGGAAACACTGTTGCCACCCATCAATCTGCAAATAAATAACAGGCCATTTCCAAACTATTTAAAGCCCATTCAATAAAAATAAACATTCAAAATATTGCTAAAACGGATTACCTTCAGCTGCTCCAGTCTCGTACTCATGCCCTCTGGGACGCTCTGCTGCCAGACGTCCTGAAACTCCTTCAGGTTGAACTTGACGGCATTCTGCAGCAGCATTAGCGCCAGGCCCCGACACACGCTGTCCTCGTGCAACGCATAGAAAACCTCGCCTGCGGAGAGGAAGCAAAGTAGGAACAAAGACAAATGCGTTAGTGCAGAGACGGTCACCAGTAAAGCAATAAAGTCCTTCAGACTCTCAGTTGCATCTTCACGGATTCTTTACCGCTTTCAGCGAAGCGTTTCCCGTAGCAGTTCAAACAGTGCTCAATCATCTCCCTGTGGAAACGGGAAACGTTATGACCCGCATTTGGTTAAGAGAAAATAAAAATCACAGCGCATACAAAACTAGCAAAATCTTTCATCAGAAGGAAGCATCCAGTTCACTTAAAACTGTCAACAATCTGAGTTTCCTTGCCTGGGCTCCAGCGGAGCCAGCTCCTCCAGACTGGTATGAAGGGGAACCTTGTTGAAGGACCATGACTCAGAATCCACCAGCTGGGCCACGTGACCCAGAAGCTTCATCTCATAGTCAAAGTCCAGTACTCGCCAGTAACCTAACGGGAGGACAGGCACTTTTCAGATGTCAACGAAATGAACATAAACAGTCACGCAGAACTCCTGAAGAAGCTATTGTTGTTTACCATCGATCTGACAGGCGTGGATCGTCTCCAAGTGGGTCTTTAATTCCTCCTCACTGGCCTGAATCCTCTCCAGTAGATCCTCCATTGTGTACTGTCAACAGAGCAAACTATTTACTGATGACTGCAACAACAGGGCTGCTTGTTAGTATTCAGCCAAAGTGATATTTAGTTATAATCATAACAATCACCCTGTTCTCCGTGTTCTCCTCTTGTCCCCTGATTGCAGGTCCTTCGTAAGGATTCTCCATTAAAAGCTTCTTCAGCTTCTTCAGTTTAGGTCTCTGTTTCCTCAGCTCCCAGTAACTATTACAGAACCCCCAAATCTGAGACAGACGTGTGGCATGAACACTCATTAAAAGTAAAGATCATACAAGCTTATTGTTACACAAGCTTATATAAGTTGGTAATTGTTTATAAAACAGAAGTATCCAAGCATAATCATTTCTAAAAATGTGCACCAGCATCTATATAAATGCGTTTCACTTCTGCTGGGGATTTACTAAAATTAAATTAACTTTTCATAGATAGTCTATACTTCTGTTCATGTGTGTGCAACAGAATAACCAGCTGTTTGGTTGCTGCAGGTCACTTTCAGCTGAGATTTCCATACCTGCATGTGTTCCACATGAGGGCTGTCCTGGTCGTCAGCTAGTTGGTCTGGCGTTCTGCAGCCGGGAACCAGCAGCAGCAGATTGGACGTGTCGGCTATTTTCAGGTCATAGGTCTTGTCGCTGCTACAAAGCACCGCACGCTCGTCTTTATCCCCCCGAATGACAAGACTGGTGACAAGAAAATATCAGTTAAGGTAGGTTTAATCACTTCCCTATGGTACACTTCAGTGATTTATGGTTTTCACCACTCCATATATAAATTAAACAAAGGTGAGTGATGAGGATGAGGTGTGAGTTTCCACTGGCAGCATTTAATTAAATACAAAGTTTGAAAAAGCACTGTGAAGAAAGCCATCTGATTTGGCAAATGCAGAGGCAAAGGAGCAGATGTGGCATTAGTAAGCTACCCTACAGTGGACGAGTGACTAATTATGATAAAGATACTGAAGCATCTTGGTTGCGGCAGTCCACCTCATTTATTTCAGACAGACTTCTGTGTGTTTTATCAATGCCAAATTTTCATATGTTTGTATATAGGGCTCAAACAAATACAAATGAACAACTTTGAAGCAACAATTTAAGAGAAAACAATCATTAGACAAACCTATGTATTCTAATAATCATCTGCCTAGTATGATGTAGTCTGATTTACCAAAGATTTTTTTTTCTAGATTGTTTATATCTTGATTAAACTATATGCACTATATGCAATTATTAAATGTATTCCTTTTTGTATATATATATATATATATATATATATATATATATATATATATATATATAACTGACACATATGATGTTTTGTAGCTGACAAAGGTAAGATGAGATTGGCTGATTTTACACATAAGTTTAACTAATAAGTGTGGAAAACTGTTGATTCTTGAGAGAACATTTAAATATAAACCTTTTTTGGGCAAACTGTTTAATTTCTTTAAACTCTGCCAAGCTGGCTTTTAGTATAGCTACAAATCTAGATGTAAGACTGATGCTTGGCTAAAGTGGCAATACTGACGTTCGCCACAACAAGAAATAATAATAAAAAAAAGCTCCAAGATTATTATACCAACAAGTTAAAAAAAATGCTATGAATGACAATCACTGTCAATCTGTTTTCCAGTTTACCTTTCTCCAGCTTCTATAAGTTTGCACAGCGTTTCATCCAGCTCCATTAGGCAGTAGTCTGAAGATGAAACATTGTCTCCAAATGACAAACAGTGGACAGTGGAGAGTAAATCTTCCTCTTTCAGTTTAGCAATCTCCAGCGTGGCCTGCACCTCTTCTAAGGTCCTCATTCTCGGTTAATGTTTTCCCAAAGCCTTGAGCTACAGTAAAATGTCGACGTTAGTGTTACTTTCTGTCAAGTTTACCCGCTTTCTCGTTCAGTCGCGGACAGGAAGTGAGGTAACTACTACCGGTGTTACATCGAATTCTGCCATCCCCGGAGGCGGCTGTTTCTTCCAGTTATTTACTTTTGCAGTCTAGAGTTGATACTGCAACAATCGAGCCTAAAATCAAAATGTATTCCTTATATTCCTCCTTGATAGATCAGTAATTTCAACCCGAGAAGATCTATTTATGTATTTATTTATTTATTGGGGGTAGGAATGATTTAAGGAAAGTGGTCTGAAGTATACCTGACATTATTTCAGGTTTTCCACAAAACTTTTCAAAGGAAAAATTTACTAAATTGGTGCAATCACACTCTATATGTGTGCAGACCCTTAAACTAATATTTCATTGCATCCGCTTCAGTTTTCCTTTTATTGGGGACTAAATAGTACCATGATGTACCTTTTGCAACATTTCTCCAAACTATGGCTTTAGCTAAAGAATGAATTAAACAAAAGTCCAAATTGGACAGCTGAAGGTTTTTTTCTTCTGATACATCAGATTAATTAAAAGTGGTGGCAGGTGTAAACTCAAGAAAATGGAATGCTTAAACGTGAGTGTTTCAAGGAAGCGCATATTCATTAAATTTGTTATATTCTGGTTCTTTGATGAAAACAAACAAACGTGTGTCTCAAAATTATGAAACAAGCTATTCATAATAACCAGACTATCTCATAATTATTAGATGGCCAAGTCCAAATTATGGGATTCTACCTCATTATAATAATGTAGTATCTCATAATCAACAGCTGTTATTCTGCTCATGTATTTTAGTCCAACAAAACGTAATAAGATGAACAAAAGTATATAAGCCAAGCTCATAATCATATCTAAAATTTTATAAGGTTATATAAAAAAAGTATGATTTAATGTGCCTGATGATAAAAACTGTTGACGTGTGGATGCTGCAGGAACTAATGAATATGCGAAACATGTTTCATCAGTGAGAAATTAATTGACGTACCGTGTCACACGTTGAGGGGTCAAATGTTGTGAGGATGCTTGCATAGCTTCGTGTAAGATGTCTAGTTTTTCCAGATCTGCTCAGGTAATTCACCATTAATACAACATACCATTGTAGTCTTCGTATGATTTAAACTGAATATTTCAACGTCATGTTCGTACGATCTAAGGAGGAATAGCTGAACGTTGCTAGCCACAGTGCTAGCAAGGAAGCTAGCAAACAAGCTCTGCCCTCAACTGATATCACGGCTTTCGCTGCTACACACATTTTGAATGTTAAGACCAATGCAATTATTATTATTACTATTATTATTATTATTATTAAGAGGGTAAAAACCAAAATAGGTAAACTGTATCAAGTTGGAAAAAACATAATGTAGCCCAAATTTAGAGGTGCATAAAACTGTAAAGAACATTTACTCAGGAATAATTGCAATACATTTTTTAAATTTAAAAGTGTACTAAGAGTAATTAGACTAAATCATGTCTAATTAAAGTCTACAAAAAATGTCAGTTTACTTTTGGAAGTTGGAGCATTGTGAACCAGTGCATTGCACAAGCATAGACTGTAATGGTAAAATTAAGGTCTCACTTCATTTTCATGACAAATGAGATGAACCAAGACCTTTGGAAGATAACTGAAAGAATCTCAAATTCAACTCCCGATTTAGTAGTTAGTCCATGTAGGCTTTAAAAATACCATCACGTGTTTTCTTTCTATTACTCATTGCAGAAATGGAATCAACCAACTTCATCCTTTTTTGTCATCTATTTTTTTTTTTTTAAAACGTCATAATTGCATAATTGCTTCTGTCAGAGTACCCCAAAGCATCTGTGGCTATAGAGTGGCGTGTGAATGTGTGCGTTAATGACCAAATTTAGTGTAAACGCTCTGGACGATACTGTACAAGTGCAGGCCATTTACCATCATAGAGTGATTTCTACAGCTTTGTCCCATTATTCTGTCCTCATTTTGTCCTCTTGTTCCTCCACAGCAATGGGCTACGTTTGCCCGATCCTGGTTCCTCATCGACGCCAGGATGCAGCCGCCCGGCAAGATCGCAACCATGTGCTCAGTCAGGCTACAAGGGAAGCACAAACCCATCTACCATGCTCTCAGTGAGTTCTGTCTGCATCAGGGGATTCTCATATAGATGTTAAGCTTATATAATCCTCCTCACAAACTACTGTTTTCTCTTTGAAATAGCAACAATCCACCTTTAGATGTATTGCAGTACGAAATAGCCACAAGATGGCAGCAATAGACTAATTTAAAAAAAGTCTTTCCTTTTTTTTGTTTTTACTACTATAAAAATGTTCAGTTTGGGCAAAATTAAAAGTTTGATTAATCTTTGTTGGCTTTTGTTTCTTAAAATATATCTAACAATATTTTGAACAGATGCTTTTTTAATCTACATTGTAATCTGGATAGCTAATATTGTCAGCTTAGAAAAAAAAAAAAAAACATTCAAATATATTTTAACAATGAGGAGAGGCATTAATAATGATGATTTTTTTTTCTAGAATAGTCTCTGCTATCCTGTCAGTTTAAATATTCTGTTGGTCTTAAAAAAGGTTCAAATCGTGTCACAGTGATTAAAAATAATTTTGGCAGGATATTTTTAGTGCAGCCTGCATCAGCGAATGGAATGGCTTCGACTGGCAGCTTGGTTTCCATTTGCCGGTGCTGTCTTCGCTCTGGTCACAGGTGTATGCTTAGAAGAAGGCAATGCAAATACATAATGAGATTTGTACGAGTAATGATAATGAAAGTTTTAAAACTGCACTGCTTGTGTGGCCAACAGCTTCATTGTTTCTCTTCTTCCAAGTATCCACATCTGACAAAAGTGCCTGAAAACAAGTCATCAGTTTTAGTACGAGCTTATGAACAAAATAACCGAGTGGAATATGACAAAAATCAGTCACTTTCTTTAGCTTTATTCGGTCATTGTATGGTATGTAGGCCAAAATGAGAATCTGCCGCAAAGTGTCTTTATTTCATTAAACTTGAACCCATTAAACAGCCAGCAGCAGGAACAAAGAGACCAACATAAAACTCTCATCTGTTCGTAGGTGACTGTGGTGATCACGTAGTGGTAATAAACACCAAACACATTGCTTTCTCCGGGAACAAATGGGAGCAGAAAGTCTACTCGTCACACACAGGGTAAGGGTTATTTTTGCTGATTATTCCCATCTGCCTGTTTTTTTTTCCCTTTTTTTGTTTCCTGTTTGTTTTTTATCCCGTAATCCTCATTTCAGACCTTTTGCATTTCCATTTTGTTATGTTCTTACTACCATTTGGTTCCTGGAAACAAAGTAGCATGAATGTGCTGAAGATATCAGTTTTTTTTATTATATTCAGTGTTTTCATGAGAGAGAAATTATCATAGAAAACCTCAAACTTCGCATTTACTTGGAGCTATTCCAGGTACCGCTCTAACAACAATGTTTACAGTTTCTGCCGTAATTTAATCGCATTTTGGCGGTGCGAAAAAGTACACGGTCAATGTCTCAGTTAAGTACTTGATGACTCCTTACTTGCTTAAAATTATTGGAAATACATTAGACGCCTCCTGTAAAAAAATATATATTTCTGCTCTTATTAATGTAAGCAGCACTGCTGAGACAATGAATTGCTAGTTGGATGCGTCTCGTTTTATTTTTTCACTTTCTAATGCTCCGTTGTCCCTGTTAGACCCCGGTTCATGTTTATTTAAGCAGACTGAATGTTTTGAATCAGTCAGTTTGAGAAACGACTCCCATTACCTTTTCAGCTTCACAATTTTGTGCATAGCAAAAGACTAATAGGGGATAATCAATGAATCAATTTGTAGGATGCTGTTTGCCCTTATGCGTCACCTTTATCTTTCCCAAAATGGAAAATAAGTTCTGAAAGAACCATCAAAACTGAAAGCAGATGTAGGAGGCCCTTTTAAAAAGTATTTACACCTTTTTTTTTCCCAAATCCTGTTATGGCCACAAAATGCAACACATAATGGGAGTTGACGCAGTTTCTAGAGTTTTATGTATAAAAAAAAAGAAAAGTATATTTCATGAAGTTCATTGAAGGTTCTGGTTGGTTGTAATGAGACTTTCTCGAGCTATACACGCTCAAGCTTTCAGAGCTGCATGTTTTAAAACTGACACGGCTTTGTCGTCTTCTTAAAGGTTTCCTGGTGGATTCAAACAAGTCACAGCTGCTCAGCTTCACCTAAAGGACCCAAAAGCTGTAAGCTGCGCCGCCAACTCTCTGCTTCCGAGCGCTTGTGTTATGCAGGCTGAATTTTAAGCGACCAGAAATGTCAGCACAGGATACCTTGCACCACCTTCTTTTTCGTATTCTGCATTTCAGATTTAAGCCTCGCACACAGAGATTAGCACAATACCAACACGTGGCAGATCCCGAGCCGAGGTGGCATTTCCTGATCTGACACTTATCCCTTTTTTCGGATGCACTGCTCGTGCATATTAATGAGCGGTACAGGGAAGTGGGATTAGAGGGCAGTGGATTTATGATGGTGGTTTTTGATTTTTTTTTTTTAAATTCCCCTGTCAGTTTTAGGCTAATACTGAAGTTTCAGATTCTTTTGCATAATCATGATTTCAGGATTATGCTTTGTGTTGTGTTAAACGAGATGTCAGGCTACTTATGATGACAATTTTATACCTGTGTACTAAGCACATCAGTTGGACCTTCTTCCTCGCTTTTATTAAACACAGGAACCATAACGTGAAATGATCTATTCCTGAAACTAAGCCCTAATAAGGTTTTTAATTTCTCATGTTCTGTTTTAAAAAGCCATTTGTAAATTAATCTTAAGGTTTGCGCAAAAAGAAAATGTGCATGTTCAAAATCTCACTGTTGCTACTGACATATTTAGAAACTGTTCAGTTTCTTTTGTTTGTATAATGAAAGATTTGCTTTCTAACAGGCAGAATGGACTTGGAAATTTAAGGCCACAACAGCAAAGATATAAAGATGGCGTGTGTGTGTGTGTGGGTGCGTGCGTGCGTATGTGTGTTTAATTGTGTTTCTGTCCACTAAAGCTGAGCAACACAGTGGTGTGAAAAAGCACACGCCCACTTTCCGATTTCCTGTTTGACACTTCAGTGGTTCAGAACATCAAAATCAAACCAATTTAAATATTAATCAAAGACAACACACGTTAACATAAAATGCACTTTTTAAATGAAGGTGTTTATTATTAAGGGAGCCAAAAAAAAAAAAAACCTTCAGCCGTCATCACAGTTTCCATATGTGCAACTTCCTAACAACCTGCTCCAGTACAATATTTGGTAGGGTTAGCTTTAATATTGTCGGTACAAACCATTTACTATTTCACACCTGATGTAGTGAATGAGTTGTCATGACAACAGTAATGAAAGGAATGATGAAAACGTGAGTTAATCACTGTTGATCGCAATGTTCAACAACCTCACTATTACATCTTCGGCTAAAGACAAATAATTTCCCGTGTTTTGAAACATTTCACATGTCACTCTCATTAATATTGCAGACTCTACTTGAACAAAACTCAATGTATTAGCAGCAGTAAGACCAATTGTTTTTCTGTTTTTAAATAAAAGTAATTTGCGAATTTTGCACTTTTTAATTTCTAGATAAATCTTGTAAAATTCTGTTATTTGGCAACAATCCGACACCCCTTCGCTAGCCAGTTATCTAAATGTTGCTCCTTGTCCTCATTTGATGCTAAACAACAACAGGCCCTTATAACAGTCGTTTTAACACTTGGCTGAAACGGCAGCGTCCGCCGAGATTCGCTGTTTGCTTCTCCACGTGCAGCTAGTGTAAGCAAATAAGAATCCCATAAAAATGACTGCCGTCCTGCGGGAAGCATTGGGATCAGGTGAATGACCTGTTCTGGTCTCCGGTCTGTCGTCAACCGTCTCCAAGGAGGCATTGAGTTGTTCTGCCAGCTCTGCTGCTGATGCAGGTTTCAGACGGGAGGCCTGCCGGTGATTTAGTTGAAGTGAAGTTTGCAGTGAAGCGGGAGACGGGGAAATGGACGGCAAAACAGTTTGTCAGCACAGCGTCTGCCCAGTGTCTCTCTCCAGAATCCCGGTCCAGGAGACCGTGTCCAATCCTTCTCACGTTATGAAATATGGTTACATTTAAGAGGCAAATGTAAGAAAAACACAGACATGTGTAGAGTTGTCTTTTTGTTATTGTGATTATGATTATTACTGAATTGCTTGTATGTCATCGTGTGCATTTCTTCCTTGTTTCCTGCAGATAGTGAGGTTAGCAGTTTATGGCATGCTGCCTCGAAATTTGCACCGGCGCACGATGATGCAACGATTGCACATCTTTCCCGAGGATGTAAGTCCCCTCACCTCACGTCTCTGAGTTGTAATAATGGGTTTTTGGACTGCAGGAGCTTGTTCACAGACATCTAAACTTTTGCAAGAAGTTTTTTTTTAATTTTTTTTGTATGGGAACTGCAGACAGAACATTTATTAAAATACAACACCAACTAAAAGTCCTCTGTTAATGCTGCTGTTTTACGTTTGTTGCAGCCAACATTTTGACTTAAAGGTTGATTGTTGCTTCTAGTTTTTATTTCAGTCACTGCTTGTGATGCATATTTTACAAACTGTTTTCTTCCTTCCATAAACAAGTTACTCCTTTGTCTCAGGTATCCACTTAAACTCGAGATGAACCAAATGGATCACCTGCCCCAAGTCTTTCTATAACTCTTATAGCTTTGTTTTTGCTCTAAGATGCTCAGCAAAAAAAAAAAAAAAAAAAGTGTAATTCTCTTTGCAGCCTGATCAGAATCAGAAGTGAGCAGAAATTAGCTGAGCTCTGCTGAGCTAAGCTGGGATGGAGCTAAAGAGACTAATTACATCCCTCTGGGGGTTTTGTCGAACAGCAAGCAAGTTTCCAGCTTTAACACATCCACGTGCTTCAGCTTCTGGAATCTGGTTCAACGTTTGGATAAGACTGGAAGAGGAAAATAGGTGTATAGAAAAATATTTGTATTTGCAAAATTATTCTCTATTGTTTAGCGGTTTCTCAATATCCCTTCATTGTTTTATTTTTTCCACACTAAGTGGCTTTCAGACAAAAACGCTAAAATCCTGGGTTCCTCCAGTGGTAACAACTTGTTTTATTTATATATATATATATATATATATATATATATATATATATATATATATATATATATATCAGATACACTGCAAAAAAAATCTTAGCAAGTAAGATTTTTTTCTTGAAATAAGACAAAACTAAGTTTCAAGTACCTTTTATGCAAGTAATAGTAGCTTGTTTCAGTATTTGCTTAATATTGATGGAAAAGGTTTTAGCTCCACCGACATACTATGGGAAAAATATTGTGTTATAAGTGAATCTCAGTGAAACTACTACTTTTGCATTAATATTAAGGAATTATTGACTTAAAAGAATCTCCTATATCTTGCTGAAAAGGTCATTCCAAGTTAGTTTTGTCTTATTTCAAGTATCCTAAGACATTTACACGAAACTATGCAAAAAAAAAAAAAAAATACTTGGAAAGTTTTTGCTTTTTTTGCCGTGTAATGTTTGTATTTATTGGAAAGGCAACCGCAGCTCATTAAATTAGACAACATGGGTGTGTAAGAATGCAGCAGAACAATGTGCATCTGACATTTTTCTGCTAAGAATGTGATATTTGGGAAGAAATGTGAAAAGTTAGCAGCTAAAGTTAGTTGCTGAGCTCGGTCACCGTCTGCAGTGGAATCTGACATTCAGCAGTGTTTTTTTTTTTCTTTTTTTTTTTTCAGTACCTCTTGAAGTTTGAAGTGTTTGATCACTGCTTACGTATTTTAGTCTGAACTCTTGCCTGCTCCTTAAATGAACCTGTAGGCATACCCATCTGTAGTGAATAACAATAAGATGGTTAACTCTAGAGAATAATGGACCCTGATGCCTTGCACAGAATATCTGATGCGCTTCTGTGGTCGATTTTTTTTTCTTTTCTTTTCTTTTCACTCCTGTCTTGATGTTTTCTTCTCTCCAAGTTTCGTGGCCTAAAACTTTGTCCCTCTCCTGCGTAGGAGTTGCCAGATGACATTCGAGCCAATCTGACAGAGGAGCTTCCTCAGCCCAGAGAAATTCCCAGGAAACTCAGCGAGTACACCCAGGAGGAGATCGACGCCTTCCCCAGGCTGTGGATCCCGTATGTAGCTGCCAGCAGGCGTTTGCTTAAAACTGAGTTTCCTCTAACAATCACAGCTTTGTCTGTTTTGCTTCCTCTAAATAATGTGAGCAGTGGTGATGAAAGACACTTTGATGGTTGTCATTGGTATTTACGCACAACTTCATTTTGGTGTATCACATTAAATCCCAATAAGATCCACTGCGGTTATGACAAAATGTGATCCCATTTCAGATCTCTTCAGAACATTGTCATTTTTCCCTTAATTAGTTAATTATTGTTTAAAAACACTACTATTTTGCGTTCCCATTTAATTTGGTTGAACTCCTGGGTTGGACCAGCTGACTGTGATAAAGTGATGACCGCAAATCAAACAGAAATAACCTTGAGCGACATCCTGCAGGTGGACCTGAGGTTTTCCAAAAAATTTAAAATTAGGACGCCGATAATAGAAAGATGCTTTTCAATCAAAGGTGTCGGCTTATGGGACAATTTTGACAGCGAGATAAAACAATCTAAATCTCTTTCTGCATTTAAAAGAAATGCAAAAATCATAATGAGGCTTTATGACATCGAATAAGTTGAAGTTTTGTTGTCTTCCGAGTTGAATAGCTAATTTTCTCTTTGTGAATAGAGAGCAGATATAAGTTTATGCTTCTTTCTGCTGCTTTTCATTCATGATTTCTTTCAGTTGCTACATTAACTATTCATATTTGAGTGAATGAAAAAAAAATATGTAATGATTAAAATCTAGCAAAATTCCAGTCTCGTGGATGGCAGAAGTTACAAAAATTGTAAATGTAGAAAAACAAAACTGCCGATAGCCAAAAAGAGTAACGAACAACAATTTGATACAAAATCGGTTTGAATACTTCTGGAAGGCCCTGAAAATATTTATGCAGCAGCGTACAAATGATAGACCGAGACTTCCTCAGTGTTTCTGCTCTGAACTACCCACCAATGAAGAGTCCAGGTGTTCCCTCACGCACACACACACAAACAGCTGTGTGTTGTTTTGGTCCTCCTAAGCAACGGATGCCTAAACAGATTCATGTCAGGAAGCATGCCAGCCACCGTCTTGTAGCCGCTTTGACTTGGACTCTGCTCCCCTCCAGCAGAATAACTTAAAGATGCTGTTTTTTTGGATTTTAACCACAAACACATGCGAGTTGAGGAGTGAATGATTGTCAGCCAGCTGAGCTGTCACATGTGACAGGATATGCACAGCAAACAGCGACGGACACTTGGCCGGGCGGCCAGTTGATTCATAATAAGGAGTGTGTTGTGCTCTGTTGCGCAGAAATAAGCTTTGGGTTCTTATGGAAGTTGGTGTAAGTGCCCTTTATGGTTTTCTAAGCTGATTTATTCTGAATGGAAACGAATGCACAACAGCAGCAGCAGCAAGACGCTGAAAAAAAAAGGAGTTTTCCCTTCAGCCTGGAAGCAGAAATGATCAAATGTCACAAACACACACGGGAAAGTTGGCTCTTCTCTGTCCCAACTGGATGGGTTTACTCTGAGTGTGTGTGTGGGAGAGAGAGAGAACATCTGTTGCTCAACATAATCATATTCATGGCTTTTCTGGCTCAAGTATTTTCAGGTTGGAGATTAGACTGACACTGTGACCTGCGGTTTGCTGGCATCGTAATATCCCGCTGAACTCCCCCCTCCCTGCTTCCCATCCGCAGCGCCTTCATTCTAACGAGTTAGCGGTCGCGCGCCACTCAACATGTAGCCTTTACATTCATTAATCTGATAATCCATTAGTTTGTCCATCGTCCAGGTCGGGGTCAGCGCGCGGTTGCTAGGCATCCACATATTAAATTAAAAGTCTGGATTCTCCATGGCGTTTCACACACAGGATGAGAGAGTCTCCTAACTTTTTCCGTTATGGATCTGGAATAAGTGCGTTGAGCTTCGAACAAACACTGAAGTTGGCCTATGTGCCGTACCTTTGTCTTGTGAATGTCATGACATTAGTGAAAGAAAATCGTAATAATGTTGCTCTTTGTTGCCTGCCTCTCCAAGCCCCAGCATAACGTGATATTTCTCCTTCCCTGGATTTATTTGTGTTTCTCAGACGGCTGTCTCTGATTTTCCGGTAAAGTGGAGACAAATTGTGCTATCTTCAGGGGGGCTCACCGCAGGTTCAAATCAATTATTCAGATATCAACAGCGACATAAAGTACTGCGCTGCTTCCCTGTGGCATTCCTGTTTTCATTTGGACCGTACAGCTCGCTAACCACACGGGTCTCGTTTTATAGTCCTGGTAAAACCACTTCTCATGCGGAGCAAAAGTCAAAACTGCTGCTCTTTTTTCTTCTTTACCAAATGCACACTTTAAGAGCAAACAAAGTGTAATTTACAGCCAAGTAAAGATCAACGCAAAACTGCAATTTAGGTTGGAATAAGAAATGCATTTTTATTGTGAAAGAATATGAATACATAGAAGTATTCACACCTGCAGAGATTCAAATACGCTTTAGTTTTCACTGATGGATGCTAACATTTATTTCTTTTCACCTCACTTTGTGTTGCTCCAGCACACTGAAGTTTGTAGTTGTGAAATGGCCAAATGAAAACCTTTTGCCATAAATTGCTCTCCAAGGCATACATTTATGTTGACGTTTTTCTTTAAAGCCAAGTCGAACACAACAAGCTGCATTCGCCTCTGAACTTCGAGCCCAAACGTCTAAATTAAGCAAACGTTCCACGTTTCCATCCGGTTTGCATCATAACGCACACATTTACACGATGCGGATTTCCTTGCTCGTCAGAGTGCGTGTTCCAGGTCTCTCATTGGTTATTGGTTGAGCGTCGTCATCCACGCCGGCCGACGCGCAGCCGTCAAGGTCAAACCAATCCTGGATTATTTAAGAGACGTCTCAGCCTAGTTAATATTCACGCTCCGCCTGACTCATTCAGATACGTGTGCGTGGGCAGTAGGCTTTGGGTCACCGAGGGCGATTCAATCATTATCCCGAATTAAACACACAGTTAATATTCTTTCTGAAAAATCCTGGAGCAAAAGTGTGAGATGATTGGATGAACCACGCCCCCTGTGAAACAAATGCACACATTCTTCCACACAAGCCAGCAGCCAGACCCAGGACAAACGTACTGCCGTGTGCGATAGCAGAACTATTACATTTTTCTCACTTTGTAACAAAACCCATACAGCATCCTGTGATAAGATCTGTCAGCTGAAATTAAAGGGAGAAAACACGAAAACGTGATGCTGGCTCTGAACTCATTTTGAAATGCTGGAAAAAAAAAAAAAAAAGATAAGATCTGCCCAGTTTTCTTATCTGTCACTTTCTGTCTGTGTATTTCCTCGAAGTCGCTCCCAATACTAATATGTTCTCTTGCTGTTTTTTCTTATTTATTTTTTTCTCTCCCTCACTCTGCAGACCTGAGGACTACAAGATGAAATGAAATCAAAGCTTCCCAGAGCAACTGGATATTTTTAATTCTAAAAAGCAGCAGGCTTTAAACATTTTGTTGTTTTCATAAAAATCTGACTTCACTCCGTTCTGTAAATTTGCATAAGAGCTTCCTTCCTTTTCCTAAAACTGCCATCAAAGTTTGCCGGGACTCCCAAGCACCAAGCCGCAACCTCGGTGCCAGCAGCAACAACCCCAGACCCCTACGGTCTGTTTTTCTGGGGTTTCGCACAAAAAGCTCTCCGTGAGCGGCGTTGGCCGCGACGGAACCACAGCAGAGCCGAATTATCCCAGAACAGCTTGAGATTTCAGCTTTCGGCTCCGATCAGAGAAAATCCCGTTCTGCTGGTTCCTCCTACGAGTGTGTCGCCATGAAGCAGTCGGTCCTGGCCCGGAAATGTGACATCTGTTACAGCTAGTTGTTTTTTTTTTTTTTTTTTTTGCTTTTTTTAATTATAATTATTTCCTTTTGGAGGTTTCACACTGAAAACAATTGTGTAACAGTGCTGAGAACAGCAGTCGAGTCCTGTGTTTAAGTGAACTATAAAAAAGGTTAATAAACCGTCTAACGAACCATCTCTTATGAAAAAGTTTTTTTTATATAAATGCTGTAAAATCTTTTTATTGAACATGTCTCCAGGGACACTTTTTTTTTCTGAGACTTATGGTTTTGTGGTGCAGAGAAATAGAAAGTAAACATTGATTTGTAACGAGGGTTGCAGTAGTCAGACGTGAAGTGTCCTCTTAAGCTTTTTCACATAATAGCCACAACCTTCGGTGCACGCGTGTCAAACTCAAGGACCAAATCTGGCTTGCCACAACTTTTTTTTTTTTTTTTTTTTGGGGGTGTGTGAAAGGCCCATGAAAAAAACCTTCAAAATAA